ATCAGAAGAAAATAATGTGGAAAAAGAAAAAATAAACACTGGCGGGCTTCTGTTTGTAAAAAGAGAAGAAAATCAGAAATACATACCAAGTGGGAGTTAAATCTATTCTATTAAAGGGGGAAATGTATGAGGAGCAACTCCTGAAGTTAAAAAGAGTTAAGTCAGTGGACTCAGGTACCAGTTACTGAGTTGTGGTGGACAACCCAGCAAATGTTACCTTTTTTAATCCACTAGAGTGAACTGAGCCAAGATCATGGGTGGAGCCGCATCACATGGAACCAAGGGTATAAATGAGACTGAACCCCGCATACATGGGGCCCTGCCTCCAAGTTCATGAACCAGTTAGGGCGGAGGTGGGTGTCTTTAGTGAAGAGCAGTGAGCGGTTCAGAAGCAGACATTTCTGCTCTGCCGGCTGGGTCCCTGCCAGGCTCTGCTCGTAGCAGCAGACTGCAAGGCTGAAGGAGAAGAAGGGAACTTGTCTCTCTGTCTGCTGTCTGGGCATCCTGGCTGCTTCCTACTCCTTTGAGGGTCTGCCCAGCGATGTCTTTTTATTTTCATCCATAGCAGTTGCAGTGACAATTGGTTGCGGTTTTCAGATTCCACTCCACCCCCAGCTTCCCAGGACCACTTTACCACCCCCTTTCAGAATTACCCCACCAGCCAGTCAGTGCCCCCTCCTCAGAGGACTGCCTCTACTGGGCAGGGCCCCTCCTCCGAGCTTTTAAGTTCTGATAGCTCCAACTCCCATCTTTGTTCCTACGGCTGCCGCCTGCAGTTACCTCTGGCTTCCTTCCCCTTTGCATTTTCAGTCCTCCAATACCCATCTGGTCAATTTCTTCATGAAAATGCCTGGTGTGGTTTCTGATTTCCTAGCTGGACCTTGGTAGAACAGTGCCCACGTCCATCTGTTTCTTTGATACGTACTCTTCTTACCCCTCACCTGTCACTTGGTATTCGCAGATTTGCATTACTGTTGAGGGCTTCTTTGTTTTTGTTAATGTATGTGTTATGACTTATCACTTCGATAAAAAACTGCTGGAAGCACAGAAAACATTTACAGGGTTTGGATTCAGAAAGATGTAGATTTAAGATCTGGTTTTTCCATTTCACAAAATAAGTGACGTTGAGCAAATTATTCCACATTCTGTAGGCCACTTTCTCATCTATAAAATGGTGACAACAGTGCCTGCCTCTCATTGATGTTGCGAGGATATGAGTAGTGTGTGTGTGTATATATATACACACACATATATATGGTGACTTAATAAAGGCACTCAGCAAAGGGCTTTTTATTTTTTGGGTGTCTGTGCATGATTACCTAGGACACTGGCTTGTATATGGTAGGCACTAGTATATACCTGGTGGTGATGATGATGATTTAAGGTTTGTGTGTGTGTGTGTGTGTGTGTGTGTGTGGCTGTAGCATGGCATCTCACAGTGCCTTGTACACAGCAGCTCTCAATGAATATATGTGGGTGATGACAAATGATGTAAGATTGGACTATTTGATTAATAGCCCATTACACGTTACAATCTATTTGTTATGCGTTATTTACTAAAAAATAGACTGCTGCTCTGTCTGCAAAGAATTCCAGAGTGTGCTATTTGACCGAAGGTCTGTCTTACCCCTGTGGGTACATTATACATTGACCACGTATTAGTTCAGTGTGTTTGACACAAAAGGTCTGTTACCTGTTCAAGTGCTCCTTCTATTAGGAAAGAAATGAAACTCTTTCTGGATGATCTTCCTTGAGGCAAGAAAAAGTCTGTGACTTTCATGACGGACTCTTACTTTCAATGAAAATGGCAAATGGGCACCACCAACAGTTCACAGGAACCCAGAACAGCCCCGAGGACAGCACACCACGTGATTTGCTAGTAGCACAGCAGAATGAGAATTCCTGCAGCACCTCTGATTGTGCTTGAAGAGCCCAAGAACAGAGCTGCATGTTCAATCATGGGGAAGGAATAATAGAGACCCGGGCGCCCGGCGAGGCAGCACCATGGAACTCGGGCAGGCTCTGCTGAACTCCAGGTAGTGTAAAAATGTCATATCGTCCCTGTAGCCCTCTTGCCTTAGATAAAGTCCATCACACATGAAAAATAAAAGCAGTTTGAATCCTTGGAGGTTTTGAGGCGAGCTTTCTTGCCTGTTTTCAGTTAGTCTTTAGAATATATTTATATTGAACAACACCAAGAATAAATATCCAACATATTTATTTATATATATGTTTATTTATCCAACACTCATATCTATATACACTAAACTCATTAAGAGAGATTGGACAACCAGGGCTTCCTGGCTGTTACTGAAGGGAAGATATGCTGTCAAAATGGGCTAGATCAGGCAAGCAACATTCATTTGTGATATCTGAAAATAAGTAATGACTCAGGAGGTTAACTCTGCTGGTGTCAAAATTCTGCCCTCCTCGCTGGTCAGGTCAATCCGGGACATGTGCCTTGAGCACAGCGGTTCTTAAGCTTTAGTGCCCATCGGGGGGCTTGGCTAGACACAGGTTGCAGGGCCCCACTCTCAGGTGGAGCCAATAAGATTGATTGGTTGATTGATTTAAAAGAATTTGCTCATGTGGTCATGGAGGCTGAGAAGTCCCAAGATCTGCAGTAAGCAAGCTGGAAACCCAGGAGAGCTGATGGTGTGAGCTCTAGTCCAAAGGCTAGCATAATTCGAAAAGATACATGCACCCCAATGTTCACTGCAACACCATTTACAGTAACCAAGATATGGAAGCAACCTGAATGTCCATCGAGAGAGGAATGGATAAAGAAGATGTGACACACACATATAATGGAATATTACTCAGCCATAAAAAAGAATGAAATAATGCCATTGCAGCAACATGGATGGACCCAGAAATTTGAGTGAAGTAAGTCAGATAGAGAAGGACAAATATCATTTGATATTGCTTATATGTGGAATCTAAAAAAATGGTACAAATGAACTTAATTACAAAACAGAAATAAGAGTCACAGATGCAGAAAACAATCTTATGGTTACCAGGGGAGAAAAGGGGAGAGCGATAAATTGGGAGATTGGGATTGACATATACATACCACTACATATAAAATAGATAACTAATAAGGACCTATTGTATAGCACAGGGAACTCTACTCAATACTCTGTAATGACCTATATGGGAAAAGAATCTAAAAAAGAGTGGATATATGTATATGTATAACTGACTCACTTTGCTGTAGAGCAGAAACTAACACAACATTGTAAATCAACCATACTCCAATAAAAATTTGAAAATTAAAAAAATTAAAAGGTTAAAAAAAAAAACAAAGGCCAGCAGACTTGAGAACCAAGCAGAGCCAATTTTTAAGTTTAAGTCCAAATGCAGGAGAAGACCTATACCCCAGCTCACGTACTCAGGTAGGAGGAGTCCCCTCTTACTCAGCCATTTTGTTCTATCCAAGTCTTCAATTGATGGATTGAGGCCCACCCACATTGGGGAGGGCAATCTGCTTTACTTAGTCCACCAATTCAAATGTTAATCTCATCCAGAGACACCCTCACAGACACATCCAGAATAATGTTTGGCCAAACGTCTAGGTGCCCGATGGCCCAGTCAAGTTAACACATGAAGTTAAACATCACAACAAGGAATGCTGCTGCTGGGTCAGGGTCTACACTCTAAGAACCACTGCTATAGCATAAACTGACTCAGGAGTCGAAACCCAGCTCTGGCTTTATCCTTATCACAGAGCCTGGAACATTTGCAGGTGCTTAATAAAAAGTACATCGAGTGAGTGAGGAGTGAGGAGTGAGTTTGTAATAGAAGGAAGGAAGGGATGGAGGGAGGGAGGGAGCAACGATCTCTCTGTATAAAGAAACTCCAGTGGACATCAAGTGATCAGGATTCTTGTCTGACTGGACCTCACTTCTCAGCTCTCGGGTTTGGCCCAGATCCTCTCAGGTCTCTCAGGCTCCATATTTCTAGGTTCATTTCTAGTTCAAAGTGGCAGTAATGCTTAAGGATTGTTTAAAACAAATAATTCACTCAAACAATAGCAGTGAGCATTTATTGCAAGCTGGTTATGTGCCAGGTACTGTACTGAAAACCTTATAGCATTATCTCATTGAATCCTCACAATAACTCCATTATTTCTATTTTGCAGATGAATAAACTGAAATCATGCATTGAGGAAGTGGCTGAGCTGGGATTCCAATCCCAGTTCCTTTGGCTCCAAAACCCTACACTACACTGTACCACAAACATTTGTGACATCCAATATAGGCAAGTCACCACACTATGGGGAAAACCTCAAGGCTAGTGATAACTAGGATTTTATTAAAAAAAAAATACCTAAAGAAATTTGGAACAGAGGATTGGTCAAAATGTTACTACAGTAGAACATATCATTAAAGACTAAGGCACTATGTATAGGGGTTTTAAAAGAGTGTTGAATTTGGGATTAGACTATCTGGGCTTGAATCCCATTTTCGTCACTTACAGGATGTATTAGCTTGGCCAAGTTACCTACCCTTCATGCCTCATTTTCCCCATCCATAAATACTTACCTCATAAGGGTGTTTACAACCTTACAGGATTAAATGAGTTAATATATGTAAAGCATTGACAGTGCTATTCACAGGGCAGTTAGTATATGAGTGTTCATTAGTATTATTGTTATCACATCCCCGGCACCAAGCTCTATGCCTGACATGTGGAAGACTGTATAAGTATAGAGTGAATTCCGAGAAGTCATGTTCTCTGGAGACTGTAGCAGTTATCCATATAGCGATGATACTTAACTATATAACTGACCTTCTGGAAACTCAGCCTTTAGACGGCTTCTTCCTTTCCTCAAGGCACTAATTTTTTTTTTTTTTTTTTTTTTGTGGTACGCGGGCCTCTCACTGTTATGGCGTCTCCCGTTGCGGAGCACAGGCTCCAGACGCGCAGACTCAGCGGCCATGGCTCACGGGCCCAGCCGCTCCGCGGCATGTGGGATCCTCCCGGACCGGGGCACGAACCTGTGTCCCCTGCATCGGCAGGCGGACTCTCAACCACTGCGCCACCAGGGAAGCCCAAAGCACTAACTTTAATAACAGTTATTACTACCTCTCAAGTGCCTGCCTATTGCTGGCTCACTGATATTATATTAATATGGCTTTAATGTGCTGCATAAATACAGAGTAAGAAAATAGACAAAACCCTGAAATTCATCTTAAATACCCGACAATTTTCAGTTCTCACAGCTGACAATGATTGAGACTTTAAGAGATCTTTAAAAAAAATTTAACCAAGAACTTTTGAATTTGCCTTTCAATTAATACCCTGTGTAAAAATCACAGGCGATGACCTCTTGTTTTGCTTGTCAGACCAACTGAATAAAAATCTCTGAAAATTCAAAACTTGACCCATACTTTCTTTAAAAAATGGAATGTGGCCGAAGAGTTCAGAGCAGAGCATAGTGAGAGCTGTGTTTTGTTCTCTGACATTTAAAAGTACACCTGAGCTCTTTAGCACAGGGGTACTGAATATTCAACAACACTGAAATTTCCAGTACTGCTGCCTGCTTCAGCACTTTAATTCCTAGGATATGCCAGGTTGCACATTAGCATTTAAATAGACAGCCCTGTCCTGCAGAAACTTAAGATTTATGTCCCACTGTAACCAGCTTCAGCTCGTGCAGGGGCTGTGGAGTTTCTTTGCCTCCTCTGACGTTCCAACTTCTCTTTCAACTTGTGCCTTTGTGGATTCAGGATGATCAGTTATCTGCAAGATTTATAACCAACAGCTTTGATGTTGAACAGATGTATGGTGTCAACATTCTGCAATTCAAGAAAATACTCTCTCTTCTTTAGGACGTAATGTGCTTTTCTCTCTGCTGACGGCTCACTTTGATATAATGAAACAAACTTCAGTTCCCTGGGTTTTTCTTAGAGAGGAAAAATTTAAATCAGTCTTCATTCCAAGTTGGAACTTAATTTGGTGTAATATCCCTAACTTCACTAAACCACCAGGCTAGGTCAAAAGGGCTCACTCTTCACACACCTAAAAATCCACAACTGCTTTTATGTCACAGCAGCAAATCCACAAAGTTCTAACTACCAGAGTGTTTTTATTTGGATGTGATTACCCACCTACTGAAACTCAGACTTACTACACAACTTAAATCACATGTTTCTCTAAGGGCCATTCTATCCTTTGACCTCGAGCGTGATAAAGGTAGGTCTTATCCATATTCCCGGACAAACTTTTATACTGCCTTGTCAGTATAACAATGGATACAGGTCATAAAGCTGGGGGGTTGTGTCAGACACGTGTGCAATTGTACCGTTTTGCACTAAACATCTCACTAATGAGCATTTTCATGGTAGCACCTAGGGCTGAGCTGTTCCATATAGTAGCCACTTGTCACACGTGGCTACTTATATTTAAGGTAATTGAATTAAAAATTCAGTTCCTCAGTTGCACTGTCCGCATTTCTGGTGCTCAACAGTCACATAAGCTATTGAATTGGATCGTGTAGCTGCAGAATATTTCCATCGTTGGAGAAACTTCTGCTGGACAGCACTTGATCTAGAGTCTTAGGATTTAAAGAACCTCAGAAAGGGCAACCAGCCATCCTGGTTTCCCCAGAATTTAGAGATCCCTGGGTTTGGGGACTTTCAGTGTTAAAATTGGGTTAGTCCCCGGAAAATTGAGACAGCTCCTCACCCTAAGAAGTCATCTAGTCCAACCATATATCTAATGTACATATTTCTTCTGCAGCATTCTTGACTTTGGACATTTCTAAGCCTGCCAGCTAAGTGATGTTAATAACTGATGTGGCTGAAGCAGGCAGGATTTGGAGAAGAGTAGATCAAGGTAAAATAAATGAGAACTCAGTTTCCGATTTTCTCCAAGAGGTAGGAATTTCAGAGGAGCAAGGTAGATTGTTTAAGTAACCACAGCGAAATGGTCCCACCCACTGAAAAGAAGCCCATTTCATAAGTAGCCTATAAGATCAGCAACAAGTCTAGCGTCAAAGGCACTTGTCAGAAACGGCTGGGATATTTACTGGTAAACCAGAGTCCCGTGTCATATTAACAGGCAGGATTCCGCTGAATTATATTTTTTGCCGCAAAAACAAACAAACATATATTTTGATGTCACTGAGTTTAAGAACTGAACGAAGCCACAGAGATCTTCCAGTCCAACTTCAACTTTTCAGAAGAGAGACCTGATGCCCAAAGTGCCTAAGTAGAGGAGAAAACCTCTATTGCTTTTCCAAAAAGCAAGAGCAAAAGCACAGACTAGTCTAAATTCCTGCAAAGGAAATTAACGGCATTTTAACTGAGCATTACATTTTTACTACTTCTCTATGATTTTTTTTTTGTTTAGTATTGTTAAAAACTGTTTACTTGATGTTATTTTATATTTGAAGTAGCTTCCTACTGAGAAAATTTTTAGCAAACACAGTCTTAGTAAATATTGTGTGACGAGCATTCAGAATTGACAGCATATACGGATAGGAAATTGTTTAATGTCATCAGATGGCAGCAGGAATGTAGAACTGTTCCCATCTTATTTTGCTTTGTCCTCTGCAGCCTGGATAGTAATCCAACATTGTAATGGGGGACTGAAGCCCAAGTGAGGCAAGGAAATTGGAAGAGAAATTTAGGTCTCCTTAAACCTGGTAAAAATCCAGGCTCAGACAGAGACAGACCTAGAGTTTCAAAGCTGATTCTGAAACTGTGTGACCTTGGGTAAGTATTTTACCTCTCCATTCCTCAGTAAGGTCATCTATAAAATGGAGATTATAACAAACACCATCCCATAGTTTAGATAATATCCCATAGTTAGTGATATGTATAAAGTTCTTAGAACAATGCCTGACCTAATTATTATAATGATTATCACTAAATTACAAAAATGATTTCACGTCTCCAGATCCAGATGAATTATACACCAGGGTAGTGAACAACATGCAGAAATATTTGTTGAATGATGAATACACAAAATACAACAAAGCCTGGTAACTGTAGCTTATGACTATTGCCTTGATCAACGACATAAAACACCTGCACTCAGACACTTGCTAAAGCAATGTTTCACAAATGTCAGTCATCTGCTTGCCATCTGTATTAGTTTCCTATTGCTGCTGTCATAAACTACCATAGACTTAATGGCTAAAAACAAGAGGAATTTATTCTCTTACAGTTTGGGAGATCAGAAGTCTAAAGTGAGTCTTATGGGATTAAAATTAGGGTGTTGGCTACAGTGGTTCCTCCTTGCAGTTCCAGGGGAGAATTCACTCGTCTTTTTCAGTTTCTAGAGGCCACTTGTGTTCCTTGGCTAGTGGCCCTTTCCTCACATCACTCTAACCTTTGGCTTCCCTTATCACACCTACTCCTTTGTCTTTGACCCTCCTGCCTCTCTTTTATTTTATTTTTTTGCGGTACGCGGGCCCCTCACTGCTGTGGCCTCTCCCGTTGCGGAGCACAGGCTCCGGACGCGCAGGCTCAGCGGCCATGGCTCACGGGCCCAGCCGCTCCACGGCATGTGGGATCTTCCCGGACCGGGCCACGAACCCGTGTCCCCTGCATCGGCAGGCAGACTATCAACCACTGCGCCACCAGGGAAGCCCCCTCCTGCCTCTCTTTTAGAAGAATCCTTGTGATTACAATGCGCCCACCCAGATACTCCAGAAAAATCTCCCATCTCAAAATCCTTAACTTAATCATGTCTGCAAAGTCCCTTTTACCATATATGGTAACATTCACAGATTCTGGGATTAGTATGTGGATATTTGGTGGGGGGTGAGGGTGGGGATTATCCAGGCTAAAACATCATCGTTACCATTTGATTTTGGCCACGTGTGTCAACATACTATTTTTTTTAAATTTTTACTTTATTTTTTTTTAAACAGCAGGTTCTTGTTAGTTATCAATTTTATACACATCAGTGTATACATGTCAATCCCAATCTCCCCATTCATCACACCACCATCCCCACCCCCTGCCGCTTTACCCCTTGGAGTCCATACGTTTGTTCTCTACATCTGTGTCTCAACTTCTGCCCTGCAAACCAGTTCATCTGTACCATTTTTCTAGGTTCCACATATATGCGTTAATATACGATATTAGTTTTTCTCTTTCTGACTTACTTCCCTCTGTATGACAGTCTCTAGATCCATCCATGTCTTAACAAATGACCCAATTTCGTGCCTTTTTATGGAAGAGTAATATTCCATTGTATATATGTACCACATCTTCGTTATCCATTTGTCTGTTGATGGGCATCTAGGTTGCTTCCATGACCTGGCTATTGTAAATAGTGCTGCAATGAACATGGGGGTGCATGTGTCTTTTGGAATTATGGTTTTCTCTGGGTATATGCCCAGTAGTGGGATTGCTGGATCATATGGTAATTCTATTTTTAGTATTTTAAGGACCCTCCATACTGTTCTCCATAGGGGCTGTATCAATTTACATTCCCACTAACAGTGCAAGAGGGTTCCCTTTTCTCCACACCCTCTCCAGAATTTGTTCTTTGTAGATTTTCTGATGATGCCCATTCTAACGGGGGTGACGTGATACCTCATTGTAGTTTTGATTTGCATTTCACTAAAAATTAGTGATGTTGAGCAGCTTTTCATGTGCTTCGTGGCCATCAGTATGTCTTCTTTGGAGAAATGCCTATTTAGGTCTTCTGCCCATTTTTGGATTGGGTTGTTTGTTTTTTTTATAATGAGCTGCATGAGCTGTTTATATGTTGTGTAGATTAATCCTTTGTCCAATGATTCGTTTGCAAATATTTTCTGCCATTCTGAGGGTTCTCTTTTCATCTTGTTTATGGTTTCCTTTGCTGTGCAAAAGCTTCTAAGTTTCATTAGTTCCCATTTGTTTATTTATTTTTTAAATTTCCATTACTCTAGGAGGTGGATGAAAAAATATCTTGCTGTGATTTTTGTCAAAGAGTGTTCTTCCAGGCTTCCCTGGTGGCGCAGTGGTTTAGAGTCTGCCTGCCGATGCAGGGGACACGGGTTCATGCCCCGGTACAGGAAGATCCCACATGCTGCGAAGCGGCTAGGCCCGTGAGCCATGGCCGCTAAGCCTGCGCGTCCGGAGCCTGTGCTCTGCAACGAGAGAGGCCACAACAGTGAGAGGCCCACGTACAGCAAAAAAAAGAAAAGAAAAAAAAAAGAGTGTTCTTCCTACGGTTTCCTCTAAGAGTTTTATAGTGCCCAGTCTTACATTTAGGTCTCTAATCCATTTTGAGTTTATTTTTGTGTATGGTGTTACGGAGTGTTCTAATTTCATTCTTTTACATGTAGCTGTCCAGTTTTCCCAGCACCACTTATTGAAGAGACTGTCTTTTCTCCATTGTATATTCTTGCCTCCTTTGTCATAGATTAGTTGACCATAGGTGCGTGGGTTAATCTCTGGGCTTTCTATCTTGTTCCATTGATCTATATTTCTGTTTTTGTGCCAGTACCATATTGTCTTGATTACTGTAGCTTTGTAGTATAGCCTGAAGTCAGGGTGTTTGATTCCTCCAGCTCCATTTTTTTCCTCAAGACTGCTTTGGCTATTTGGGGTCTTTTCTGTCTCCATACAAATTTTAAGACTTTTTTGTTCTAGTTCTGTAAAAAATGCCGTTGGTAATTTGATAGGGATTGCATTGAATCTGTAGATTGCTTTGGGTAGTAGGGTCATTTTCACTATATTGATTCTTCCAATCCCACAACATGGTATATCTCTCCATCTGTTGGTATCATCTTTAATTTC